TACCGATGAGTTTCCATCTGCCGGGCGGTTTCTTCATTGCGCCGGATTTTTCCCGCACGTACGTACACTACGCTCCGCTACGCACGCACCAGCACGCATACGCACGCACGCACGCACAGCACGCACAGCACGTACTGTACAGGCGCATCTGATAACGGTGATTTCCCTAGAACGTGTACCCAGATATGGTAGTATTACGGCTTAAAGCTGAAGCACAGAGAACGGGGGAGAGAAGGAGCGGCGAGGAATTAGAGAGCGAGGGGAAGAGAGGGAGGGGGAGCGGAGAACGAGAGGTGAGGCGAGATTTAGAGAGAGAGAGGGAGGGAGAGAAAGAGAGATAGGGATCGAGAGGGGGTCGCGCGCGCGCGTGCATGGCGCGAGCGAGAGAGAGAGAGAGAGAGGAAGAGAGAGAGAGAAAGAAGAGAGAGAGAGAGAAGAAGAGAAAAGAGGAAAGAGAATGAGAGAGGAGGAGAGAGGGCGAAGCATGAGAGAGAAAGAGAGAAGGAAAGAGAGAGAGAGAGACGGGAGAGAGAGGGGGGAGCGAGAGCATCAAAAAGAGAAAGGAAAGAAGAGAGAGAAGTAGAGAGGGAAGAGATATAAAGAGACGAGAAAGAGAGAGAGAGAGAGAAGAGCGCGAGAGAGAGAGAGAGGGAGAGAAAGAGAAAGAAAGAGAGAGAGAGAGAGAGAAAGAGAAGGAGAGAGAAAGAGAGAGAGAAAGAAGAGAGAGAAAAAGAAGAGAGAGAGCGCGAGAGAGAGAGAGAGAGAGAGAGAGAGATAGAGAGAGAGAAGAGAGAGAGGGGGGGAGAGAGAGAGAGGAGAGAGATAGGAAAGAGAGAGGATTGGAGAAAGAGACGAAAGAGGCGTAAACGCACGAGAGCTGCGCATAATGAAAAGGAGGACGTAGTAGAGAGCGGTGGAGAAACTGACTGGGGAGAGAGATAGGAAAGAGAGAAGACAGGTAACGGAACATTATATTGTGGATGGTTCGCGCTTGGGATGTGTCATTTTTTTGGGTTTCCCACAGTGGCATTTGTGTCAATTCTCACAGGCACTTGAGCGTTATCAATAAAATATAATGCTCAAACAACAATACGAAATCTAATTTCCTAGCCAAAGTTTAATGTTTCTCAAGACTACTCTTCGCCTAATTATGCCGACAATTTCCTTGAAATGCCGTCGCAAATGCTCATCCCGCTCCAATCACACATGCACGCATTTACAGAAATTTCCGCAATGAAATAGCGAAAGAGAGATAGAAACAATTAAAAATCTTGGTATAAAGATTCGTATTTGTTTAGCATTAATTTAATTGAAACGCTCACGAGTGCCTTGTGCTATCTATATAATGTGCGACACAATCACTCATCCAATTCATATCCTTCATGAATACAGCCATTCTCCACAGATGATTTTTGGGGCGGATGTTAAATGATTTTTAATATGTTGTTCTGTGACACATTTCTGATCATCTGGGATATATATTATATCATTTTTTTTCCGGGTCAAATTTCCACTAATATACGAGACTACATTAAA